TGTTTGATTCGCACGAGATGCACTTTCACAACATATACACTTGGTAGTGACAACCTGCGGTCCACAATGACGCGTGCTTAGATGCCGCACCACACCGTGCCGTACGAAGCACTGTAGTAGTCGCAGTCGCTCCGTGTGTACTCGGGAGGCAAGCACTGGCTCGCGCCGGGGTAGTAGCACCCAGTGCAGCCGGCGCACACGTCAGGTTGGGAGGTCGTGGGGGTAGGCTTGGTGGTAGGGGTAGGCTTGGTGGTGGGGGTAGGCTTGGTGGTAGGGGTAGGCTTGGTGGTGGGGGTAGGCTTGGTGGTGGGGGTGGGGTTGGTTGTCGGGGTGGAGCCACCGCAGTCGCCAGCGGCGCAGGCCGACAGGAAGGTACGGAACTCACTGTCGTACGAGGTGCCGATGGTGCTGGTCAGGAACGTACGGGCGGCCGCCCAGTTGCCGGTCCGGTAGTAGCCCAGGATCGTGGCCATCTCGTTGGGGTGCCGGGTGAGCATGAACCGCGACGCCAGGTAGCCCCAGTTGTAGATGCGGGTCTGGTCGTTGCTGTACGTGGTGTCGAACAGCGTGCGCAGCGAGTAGGTCTGCTTGCCGGCTTCGGTCATAGCCGCGGTGTAGGGGACGTTCCGGTAGGAGTAGGAGATGTACTCTGCGAAGCCCTCGATCCACCAGACGGTCGGCGTCGAGATACCGGCGTTGAAGTCGCCGTACATGTTGAACCGGCCGTCGAGGTAGTGGGTGTACTCGTGGTTCAGGTTCCAGATCTGGAAGGTGGGACGCACCCACTCGGCCTCGTAGGCGATGAAGCGCGGCTGGTTGCCCGACAAGGCCGGGTCACCCTCCAGGTACATCCCACCGTTGTTGGTGTTGATGCCGTAAATCGCACCGGCGTACGTCTGGTAGTCCGTGCTGGAGTCGAAGACGACGACCTCGATGGTCGTGCCGTAGTCGTTGGCCACCGGGCCGTTGTCCCGCGCGACGCTGTGGAAGTACGCGTCCTGGGACAGCAGGCTGTTGCAGCTGCTGCTGAGCTCGCTGGCTGTCATGTCCTGCGCCAGGATGCGGATGCTGCTGCTGCAGGTGTAGGTCGACGTCAGCACGGCGCTGATGAGCCGGGCCGACAGGTCGCAAGTGTTGTAGTCGGCGCAGGCGGCCTTGTCGTAGGAGTCGGTCATCTCGGCGAGACCGACCCACAGGGGAGCGGTCGGGCCGGTGATGGAGCTCTGGCCGAGCAAACCGACCACGAGCGGCTTGACCGTCGGACGGATCGCGGCGTCACCCAAGAACCGACCGAGCTCACGACCGGCGTTGGAGACAAGGTAGGACTGCGTCCCACCCAGCAGGTTCTTGTGCGTGTTGGCGAAGTTGTACAGCGTGTCCAGCACGCTGCGGTCAGCCGCCACCGCGGACACGAACGCCGGGACCTGGTGACCGCGGAACAGCACCGTGTAGACGTTGTTGACGGCGTTCAGCATCCACCACGAGGCGTCGTACGACGAGTTGTACCCGTTCAGCAGGCGCTTGATCACGCTCAGGTAGCGGGCGTTCTCCTCCGCGCTGTCGATCAGGGTGACGGCATCGGAGAGCGTCTCGCCGTTCGCGTCGGTCACGTCGAAGGCGCGGCTGTTGGCGAAGAACGTGTCCAGCGCGCCCTTGATCGCCGTGGACAGCGCCGTCCCGTACGCACCGACACTGCTGTCGTAGTAGTGCACGTAGTACCCGGCGCGCAGGAACAGCACCAGCTGAGCAGTGCTGCCGCTGTTGTTACCCTGGTAGGTGGCAGCGGCCGAGCGCAGCGCGTCGGCCACGGACACCATTTGCGCCTCCCGGAAAATCGAGTACGCGTCCGCGCCAGAGACACTGAACAGGGAGTTGATGCAGTCAGTGGTCGCCGCCTTCACCGCCGCGACCAGCGCCGAACCCGTCGCACTGGCGAACGTCGAGGTGCTGCACACCGCCTGCACACCCTTCACCCCCGCCATCGACGGGCGAGGGCGCGCGTCCATCGGCTTCGCGTCCTCGTAGGACCGACGCAGCTGCGCCTGGTCCGCTTGCACAGGCGGACGCAACCGCGCCGGCAGCGCCGTCCGGTTCTCGGTGCCGCGTGGCAACAGACCCTCCACCGCGGCCGGGGCTACATACTGCTCACGCCACATGGCCAACTCGGGGCGCTCGTCAGCCGAGAGCGTGCTCACCGACTGCTTGGAGGCGGCGGCGGACGCGACAAGGACGGCAGCAAACAACTTCATGGTGGTCCCCGGAGTCGAAAGCAAATCCAAAAATGGTAGTTGTCCTCAGCGCACTCGCATCATTTGCAATCGTTGTCCTCGCGAATGGACTGGATGAAAGCAATCTGGTTCTGCTGCGTGAGCTGTATGAGTCTGACTCTGTATCAGGTTGAAGCTACTTGTCTGTTTTGCTCAGTAGGAGGTAGGTTTGCGGTCTGGGCATACTGGGCTAACACTTTACACTGGACGAAATGACATCTAGTATCCGTCGTGTCGGTGCTTGGCCGCCTGACTCTGATTCGGGAGGCTGTGATGATCATCACAGTTGCACCTGTAGGTCGTCGGTTTACGATTGCAGGCAGAAAGCCGCACGGCCAGAAGCCACACGAAGGTCTTGCATGCGCACCGTCACGCGCGAATTCGGCCACAATAACTCGTTCCCGCACGGCATGACGGCCACTGTGCTCGAGATCGAACATGTCGTCATGAACGACGACGTCCGGAAGCGGTTTCGGTACATGGCGCATCTGCCATCGCATTGCGATTTGTTTTTGGTTGGAGTTGATTTGACTGGCATCATATCGCCCGACACACAGAACCATTTTCAGGCCGAGTTCAAGAAGCGGGAGCGGGCACGTAACAAGCCAAACGCAGCACCAAAAACTCGACAATTTGAAACCCCGCAGCGACAGCTTTGAAGTGCGTCTTATGCTGCAGCTGGCGCAACGACGCCCACTACCCCCAGCTCCACAACGTGGCTGTCGGCGCGCCCCCCGACGATGACGGCACCGACGAGCTGGAGCGGTCCGACGCAACCGACGAGTCCCCGTACAACTCGCCGTTTGCGAGCGGCACAACCAACCAAGGGTACTACCCCGCGTTCAGTTTGGGTGGACAGGACGACACCGCGGCTGCGTCCCCGGGATGGCCAAATGTAGGGTCTGCCATGGCCGTGCTGTTTAACTGACGAGCTCAAAAAGCAGTCGAGCCAGAACGGGAAAAA